TTTAACTAGTAACTTATTAAATCAGTTACTAAACCAAATAGTTTAACTAGTAACTTATTAAATCAGTTACTAAACCAAATGGTCCGTTTACACTGCACAATTTATGTGTCTCATGTTCATTTAAACTTGAGTTTGAAAATCGTCTTCCTATTCCAGAATTAAAGGAAAATATTTAATTTGTTCTTAAATCCACTAATTAAAGGAAAATATAAAATATTGTTCTGAAATCCACTAATTAAAGAAAAATATATAATTTCTTCTGAAATCCACTAATTAAAGGAAAATATTTAATTTGTTCTGAAATCATCTAATGAGAAACCGTCCCAACTTTTGAATTGCATTAAAGTTTTGAATCTAAGTTTCTGATTGAGATTCTACCAATACAAGGCATCATGTTGAACTTGAAATCCATAGAGAGAGAATGGGATTCAGTGTAGAATGTAGAGTCTATAAGTTGTAAAGCTCTATTTTTATTCAGCGGTGATGTCTAGATAGATAGAAACTACTCGTTATCTACAGGGTTACCCAGAAAGTATGAGACTGTAAAGACGACATAAATCTCTTGGAATTAAGTCTTCTGCCTGGAATATAATCCTTTAATGAATGATTTGATATAGAAAGTAACAAGTTTACATTTGCAGGAAACAAGGAATTTAAGGAAAAAGACATTATAAATTCCGCACAGTCGCCACTGAAGTCTCATCTTTTATGGGTAACCCTGTATATAATAAAGTTGTAATTTCTGTTTGTCTGTCTGTTCTTTTAATGTCTGATAATAACTCATTAACCCTTTTGACTAAGTTGCCTCACATTTTGATTGAGGTACTCGCGTCGGTAGAACCATGGGAATGTTCTCAACTTTGTAAACAAAATGCTAACTTTAGTGATTTGATTTTATTTGGAAATTTAAATTATTTCTTCAAAATATATTTACTAATAATGACTGTTTGAATTAGAAAAGTAGTAAAAGGGTTAGTATCACTGAATATTACACAACAATTTTTGATCCTACAAAAAAAAATTAGTTTTTGCCTCAAACTCTGATTTTCTAATCCCGATATCTTTACAATCCAATGTCGTAGACCTTAGATATTTCAAACTATAAATTCTGTTGGATAAAATAATCTAAGTTTGAAATAGTAAAGGTTTAAACCATCCGGTTGCACAGATATAGGAATTAGTAAATTTGAGTTCACGGCAAAAACTCAATTCCTTTTCCATTCATATATATTTCTAGCAAGGTGATAAAAATTGCTATTTCAGCCGTTTAATTTTGAAATTCAATTTCTGAGAAGAAAAAAATAGTGGAAATAAAATTATGGAAAGGTTTGTTTCATCCTGGTTTTTGTTTATAATGTTAAGTATTGTGGAAAAGGAAGACGACATTTAGTCTAATAAACATAAGATACAGGCTACAGTAATTGTACGGGTGCAAAGCCCAATTTCACTTTATATGGGATTGTTCAGCTGCTAGTAATCTATCTGTATTAATAGTCTTCATTAAAAATCAGTAGTTTAAAGTGTTCTCGGTCTAATGTTTATTTAAACACACTTTTTTTATAAAACGTATTTTGGAAGCTGACATTCAAATCCTCGATTTTGCTTCTCAAAATGTCGTCTTTTAAAAGAGATTCTATGAAACAACTTAGATTAGAGAACATGGCCGTTGTTAAAGGGACTGTGGACGTAAATTCCATTCACGGATATTCGGTTGACAACGGTATCCTGTACATCCTGTACACCTTGGTCTAACCTAGGATATTGGAGGTCTTCATCTTTTCCTTCCGAAAACTTGTTAATTGTGATTTCTCGATAACCGTGATCTGCGGATTTCAGCAGCACAAACAATGAAAGGGATTGTACACTATAAAAATAGAAGAAGATAGAACGATAACTTTAAATTGTGAATCGGATACCCAGTGAATAGCTTGGGTCACATAATCAGGTCTACAACCTCCTTTCGATGGACGGGCTTTTTCTATAAGGGGGGGGGGGAATCCGAATTTCCCCCATGAACCACCTCTAAATTTGATAGATAGATAGATAGATAGATAGATAGATAGATAGATAGATAGATAGATAGATATTAAAATATTGATAGATAGATAGATTGTAAAATGATGATAGATAGATAGACTGTCTACTGAAGGTATCCAAGGCAAGGAACTAAATAAAACTTTCCACCGTAGAGAAGCCTGAACCCCTGCCACCAACTAGTGTTTAAATAGTTTTATATTCATTCTCCCCTCACACACAGCTCTTATACAACTTTTTTCTACATAAGAAACAAAAAAGAGTTTTTGAATGTTTCCCTGGCCCCCGCACCAACCTCTCCTCTTCGTTTAAAAAGAAGTAATTTCAAGTGACCTTTATAATTAAACAGGGTTTTGCCTAATTTACATCAGTACTCTTGAAAACCAAACAAAGATATACTTGTCTTTCTGTCTGAAAAATATATAATTTTTCATGTTGATTTCTCTATAAAAGTTATGAAACTTATTTGTAGATTTATGAAGGATATCTTAAAAATTTTCAAGCAAGAACTTCTTCTGCGTTGCTCAGAAAAAGGCAAGGTGTCATAGCACGTTACTAATCTGAATTCTTACATAAAACGTGCTGGATAGTTTATCCGAATAACCGTCAAAATAGCACGTTACTAATGTGTTACTTATCTTTGTTCTAGCTTGAAACGTGCTAAAGAACTGACCGAATAGCATATTAATAATCTTTGTTCTTATATAAAACGTGCTAAATAGCTTTCCAAATAGCACGTTACGTTACGTTTAGATACAAACTTGCTAGATAGTTTATCCTAATCTGATTTCTACCTTCAAATGTGCAGACTAATTTGTTTTTATAGCACGTTTGGGATTTCTGAGTTACTTGAAATGTACTGACATCACTAATCTGATTCCTCGTATCAAAAGTGTTGGTAAATTGGGTGTATTAGCACGTCAGGAATTTCTCCGTTTCGTACTTTTAATATTTCTGGATAGCTTGGCCTAGCATTGTCTCTATAAATTCAGTTCTTACTTAACACGTTCCAACATAGCACGTCAGAAATATAAACTCTTACTTAAACGTTCCAACTAGATTTGTCCTATAAACGTGCCAGGATAAGCTGAATCTAACTAAGATTTCTTTTCCCGAACCGACACGTATAGCTTTTTAGATTATTTTCACAAATGTAACGCTAAATTAGTAAATTTTCAATATATCTGTAACAATCTAGGTCCCGAGGATTCTTTAAACACTCTCTAACTCTAATTCTGCAGTCAATCCTGTCAATATTCCTAGCCTACCCTGGCTAATTACGTCCGTATCAAACAACGATTACTATGGTACTACTAATTTATTGATAACAGGTAAATAGGTTGATCGGTCGGGCCGGTCAGAGTACGAAACTAAATCATAGATAAAATAGATAATACGGATAAGGTAGATAGTCCTGAATTTACTATATATCCACCAATATAAGCTACATCACAAAAGGAAAATCGGCCAAAACTTTTTGTTTGCACTTTTGCAAATATATTTGCACTAGCAATGGTACACACATTTTTTAAAATATTAATTTTTTAGTGCAAATATCTATTCAGCGGGAACAATAATACATTGGAGTTCATCTTTTGAACCTGACTCATTTCAAAAACTGGTCTTGAACATGTTTCGAAATATACCTACAGAGCAAACGAAAGAACGAAGCCGACATTTATTCCAAAATATTTTGGTTCCTAACGTAGGAACGAAGATCGGAACCTCTAGAGATAGAGAAAGGAGAGGCTAGGCTTTTTTATTCTTTCCAACATTTTTCTTTAAAAAAGCAGAGATTTCTTACGTCCGAGCTAGCTCTGGATGTAAGTGAATTTTAAAAATCTAAAACCGTCAAATTTAACACGTTTTACAGAGATATGTTTCATTTTTGCAGGGTTATTTTTATCCTCTGGTTCTTATGTGATTTGAGTTGAAAACTAGAATTTTTTTAGAAAATTACAACAAAAATGTGAAAAGAAAAATATAAGAAAACATAACATATAGATGACAATGACTTCACTCATAAGGTTAGACTTAAAAAGTAGAGATAGAACATTTAATAATAACAATATTGGAAGTTTGGAATGGGGGGGGGACAAGTCTGGAGGGGTTTAAGAGTGAGGGGTAACTAAAAGGATTTGTAAGGAGGGAATGGGTAACTATAAGGGTTAGTGGGGGAAGCCTTTGAAAAAAATTGAGAATAATTTGTTTTTATTTTTCACTGAAAACCTTCATGTGGTAAAGCAAGAAATGTTTTTAAAGCTTCAGAAACCTAACCTTTATTTTTTCCTCTTTTTGGAACGAATGGAACAATCGGTACAAACGTAACAAACTGCATAAACGGACAAATAAAACGAACGGAACACATGGAGATAAGCGGAACGATGGAACGAACTCAACTAATGGACAAACTGGACAGACGGAACGAATGTAACAAACTAAACGAAGGGAACGAACAAACCAAATTTCAAAACGAAACGAACGAAAAGAAGAAAAAAGCTGAACGGAATGAACGGAATGAAAGGAACGAACGAAACGAAGAGAACGGAACAAACAATACATACAAAACGCACGGAATAATTAGATAAAACGGACGGAATGGAACCAATGAATACATGTAGGCTGGAAGCTACCTGGAGAATACTAACCCTGCAGATATATGCAGTATTCTAGTCGGAAGTAAGTTATTAAAAAGAATTGTTGTTGTAATTTAAATGAAAAAACGTATAAAGATGGGCGTGCACAATTTGCAACAGTACCTTCAAAACCTTTATCTTATCAACATAAACATCGGATATTTCACTTTCTGGAGGGGCACAAAAAATGATATTTTCAGTCAATTTGAAGGGATCGTCTAATGTCAAGTGAAGTGCGATAAACAAATCATAATTCATATATCCCCATTCATAGTTTCCAATTAATACTTGACAAGACTTTTTTCAAAGTGTATCTTCTAGATTCTGGTAGGATCTACCATCAAGGAGGAATGTCTTATGAACGATGTCAAAACACAGAAGTCAGTAAAACGATGGCTCAACAGGTTGCTTCAAGACATAGAGATCCTACAGCAAAAATACAGGTATTTACATATTGCCAGGAGATCCTACAGCAGAAATACAGGTAGTTATATATTGCCAGGAGATCCTACAGCAAAAATACAGGTATTTATATATTGCCAGGAGATCCTACAACAAAAATACAGGTATTTACATATTGCCAGGAGATCCTACAGCAGAAATACAGGTAGTTATATATTGCCAGGAGATCCTACAGCAAAAATACAGGTATTTATATATTGCCAGGAGATCCTACAACAAAAATACAGTTATTTATCTATTGCCAGGAGATCCTACAGCAGAAATAAAGGTATTTATATATTGCCAGGAGATCCTACAACAAAAATACAGGTATTTATATATTGCCAGGAGATCCTACAGCAAAAATACAGTTATTTATCTATTGCCAGGAGATCCTACAGCAGAAATACAGGTATTTATATATTGCCAGGAGATCCTACAGCAAAAATACAGGTATTTATTTATTGCCAGGAGATCCTACAGCAGAAATAAAGGTATTTATATATTGCCAAGAGATCCTACAGCAAAAATACAGGTAGTTATATATTGCCAGGAGATTTTACAGCAAAAATACAGGTATTTACATATTGCCAGGAGATCCTACAGCAAAAATACAGGTATTTATTTATTGCCAGGAGATCCTACAGCAAAAATACAGGTATTTATATATTGCCAGGAGATCTACAGCAAAAATACAGGTATTTATATATTGCCAAGAGATCCTACAGCAAAAATACAGGTAGTTATATATTGCCAGGAGATTCTACAGCAAAAATACAGGTATTTACATATTGCCAAGAGATCCTACAGCAAAAATACAGGTAGTTATATATTGCCATGAGATCCTACAGCAAAAATATACATAGCTATATATTGCCAGGAGATCCTACAGAAAAAATACGGGTAGTTATATATTGCCAGGAGATCCTACAGTAAAAATACAGGTAGCTATATATAGCCAGGAGATCTACAGCAAAAATACAGGTAGTTATATATTGCCAGGAGATCTACAGCGAAAATACAGGTAGTTATATATTGCCAGGAGATCCTAACGTAAAAATACAGGTAGCCATATATTGCCAGGAGATCCTACATCAGAAATACGGGTTGTTATATATTGCCAGGAAATCCTACAGCAGAAATACTGGTAGTCATATATTGCCAGGAGAAACTAATATAAAAATACGTGTATTTATATATTGCCAGGAGATCCTATTGCAAAAATACAGGTAATTATATATTGCCAGGAGATCCTAGATCAAAAATACAGGTAATTATATATTGCCAGGAGATCCTAGATCAAACCATACAGGTAGTTATATATTGCAAGGAAATCCTACAGCAGAATTACAGGTATTAATAAATTGCCAGGAGATCCTAATGTAAAAATACAGGTAGTTATGTATTGGCAGGAGATCCTACAACAGAAATACAGGTAGTTATATATTGCCAGGAGATCCTACAGCAGAAATACAGGTAGTTGTATATTGCCAGGAGATCCTAATGAAAAAATACAGTAAGTTATATATTGCCAGGAGATCTTACGGCAAAAATACAGGTATTTAATTATTGACAGGGGATCCTACAACAGAAATACAGGTATTTATATATTGACAGGAGATCCTACAGCAGAAATACAGGTTGTTATATATTGCCAGGAGATACTGCAGCAGAAGTACAGGTAGTTATATATTGCCAGGAGATCCTACAGCAGAAATACAGGTAGTTATATATTGCCAGGAGATCCTACAGCAGAAATACAGGTAGTTATATATAGCCAGGAGATCATACAGCAGAAATACGAGTAGTTATATATAGCCAGGAGATCCTACAGCAGAAATACAGGTAGTTCTATATTGCCAGGAGATCCTACAGCAGAAATAAAGGTAGTTATATATTGCCAGGAGATCCTACAGCAGAAATACGGGTAGTTATATATTGACAGGAGATCCTACAGCAGAAATAAAGGTGGTTATGTATTGCTAGGAGATCCTACAGCAGAAATACGGGTAGTTATATATTGCCAGGAGATCCTACGCCAGAATAACAGGTATTTGCATATAGCTAAGGTTGGTCTATGAAAATATGAGAAATGAAATATTTGAAAGAAAAGGTTTTGAAAAAAGTTTTGTTAAAAATTTTGGTTCCAATGCTACCTGCAAGCGGTAGAAAATAAAGCCGACCAATAATCAAGGACTATGAAAATTAAAAGGTTTCGGTAAAAATTGCAAACTAAGGTGCTATGTAAATATTTAAAGAAGAAAGTTTGATAAAGTTTAAATAATTTTATGCAAAATAATCAGAAAAGTCTGAAAACTTTTTTTTCCTTTCGACTGAATGGAAAAAAATGCATTCATGCAAGCATTAAAACAATATATTAAAAATATAGAACTATTAAATTATAAACAACAATTTTTGAATACTTTCCTTACATTCTTTTTTTCATAATTCTTTCATTTTTAAAATGTTGTTTGACCTTTAACATGTTAAACTGTCTGAATTCTGTTAGATCGAATCACGGCCCGCTTATAGGTATACTTCTATCTACCGATCTATACTATTCTGGGCTAGTGTACATGTAACTTTGTCGGTGGGCTACGCAGCTGTTTTATTTCAGTGGACCCTAGATATTTTTAGGAAATTTCTAAAACCTTTGCATACCAAATTTTAGGTTTTACTATAACAAATTTTTTTCTGGCTTTTGTTCATTTTTTAAAAATAATTTGTACTTTTAAAAAAGTTTGAAGTGAAGTGCAGGGTCCAAATTAGAGAAGAAGTTTGGTAGATAGTGGGCCCTGGAGTAAGCAGAAATGAGATACTGTAGCTAAAATCTTGTGATCATAGCATTTTCTTCAAAGAGTTGGTAGCATCAAAGGCGCCTTGTTTTCAGATTTCCAAAATGTGGTCTGCCGTTTTTGTACCTTAAGAATTGACCAAGATATTGAGAAATTTGTTTAAAATTCAAAATATTAAATATCAGCAAGGTTTAGTATCTCCAACAATTTTTATAATACAAAAAAGGAGGCTAAATCTTATCAAGTTTTAAAGACTTACAATGTTTTTCTTTACTACTTTGACATCTATTAACTTTACGAAAACCAAAGACAAATTGTAAGTTCCAGGGTCCAATGTCTAACGTACTGCATAGTGCATAACACCCCAGCGAAAAAATTACATCAAACCTTGACTATGATCATGGATGAACTATAGGATAAAATGTTGGCGCGGTCTGCCCTGTCTAAGTAGCTTGGTTGAGATTTACTGATCATGCAGCTGTAAATACCTGTATAAATTAAGATAATCAATCAATCTTCCTGTAGGTTTTAGGGTTATCGTAAATGTTGCGCACACTTTTTCTGCAATATCAGCTGTACACAGTGGGTTTATTTATAGTGACTAAGACCAAATCTCTCGTTGTCTTTCTTCTTAAAATTAATGAATTACAGTGGTTTTACTAAAATAATTCATGAAAATAATAATTTTTACTATTCATTAGGGCTCATGTTAACATATTTGACACTATAGTGATTTAAGTTTCTATGTCCAATATATAATATGCTTGCATTCTTTACTTAAAGACACTTTTTTGTTTTGTTTTAAAGTTTTCCTTAGATTTTTTGGTGTAAAGATACTGGATATCCAAACAAACATGGGAATTATACGTAAATGATAAACAGACAAAAGATTAAATAAAGAAAATTAGTGTTGGGCTTTCCAAAATGTGGAAATTTGGTATGCAATTTTCACATATTTTCGCAATTATTTCAGTTTTCACTTTGTATAAATAAAGATATAGGAAACTTTTTATTTTGGAAAATATATGAAAGATAAATTATTTTGAATTCTTAGCTTTTAAAGGTAAAAATAACCTTAGATAGGTCAAATGAAGATTCCTAATTCAATATTTGTTGGGACACTCGAGTAACCGAGTACATAGTTTAGATAAAGGTTTTAAATTATAATTTTACAAAATCGAAAATTTTCTTTTTATTCTTATTCTGTTTTTTAGCTTTATTATAGTAGCTAAGGGCGCTGCTTAACCTTAGTTTCTAATTTGCAAAAAAGATTGAGATAGCTCCCTACTGTACGCCCACTGTTCATCTTGTACAAAAAGGTTCCGGTTAAGTTTTACAACTCTTAAAGAAATTCTCCAATTTTAAAGATGATACATAGCATTTATGAATTCAGTCTTTTATTAAGATTTTAAATATCCTTGAATACAGATGTTTGCTAATTGGTCGTGTACAGTACTTCAGCTGATAATCAATCTCTGTAACTCTCTTATCTCTGATTGTAAAACAAAAACAAAAAAGTTTGCGGAGCAAATATTTGAAATTTTGATCGTTTTAAAACCTTCGCTTGGGTCGTGTGCAGAGGTCCCACACAAAATTTGGGCCTGATCGGTTCAGCCCTTTTGACGTTTATTGGATACAAACGGACAGACAATCAGACATATACAAATGTTTATATGATATTTAATAATAAATAAATGTGTTTATAATATTTTAGTGTTGTTCAAAGAATGGATGTAATTGGAATTTTACAACAGCCTCCACAAAAGGTAAATTATTTTTACAGGAAGCGTCAACAAAATGTTAAAAGACGGGTTTGAATTGAATTAAATTAAAAATCGATTGGGCAAAAAAGAAAAACAATCGTTTGGGTGAATCGGAAATTAGAGACACTTTTCCGTCTCTGAGTTCCATGTCTATCGAGTCACCCTGTATGCAAAACATTTGATTGATTAATAAAACAACGACGACATTTAATAATTTCTTCTCGCTGTGTTTAGACGGAGGAGCAAGTATAGATTCAGGGTTTACAGAGATAGTTGCAGACAATAATACTTTACTTTCTGCTCTTGGTAAGATAGTTACTGATAATACTCTGCTCTTGGTATTATAGTTACTGATAATACTCTCTGCTCTTGGTAAGATAGTCACTCATAATACTCTCTGGTCTTGGAAAAAAATTCACTAATAGTACTTTCTGCTCTTGGTAAGATTCCTGATAATATTTACTTTCTGGTCTTGGTAAGATAGTTATTGATAATACTTTACTTTCTTCTATTGTTAAGATAGTTACTAAGAATACTTTACTTTCTGCTCTTGATAAGATAGTTACTGATAATATTTACTTTCTGCTCTTGGTAAGATAGTTACTGATAATATTTACTTTCTGCTCTTGATAAGATAGTTACTGATAATGTTTACTTTCTGCTCTTGGTAAGATAGTTACTGATAATATTTACTGTCTGCTCTTGGTAAGATAGTTACTGATAATATTTACTTTCTGCTCTTGATAAGATTAGTTACTGATTATACTTTACTTTCTGCTCTTGGTAAGATTAGTTACTGATAATACTTTCTGTTCTTGGTAAGATAGTTACTTATAATACTTGCTGCTCTTGGTAAGATAGTTACTGATAATACACTCTACTCTTGGTAAGATAGTTACTGATAATATTCTGCTCTTGGTAAGATAGTTACTGATAATACTCTCTGCTCTTGGTAAGATAGTTACTGATAATAATTTCTGTTCTTGGTAGGATAGTTATTGATAATACTCTGCTCTTGGTAGGATAGTTACTGATAATACTCTCTGCTCTAGGTAGGATAGTTACTGATGATACTCTGTTCTTGGTAAGATAGTTTCTGATAATACTCTTCGCTCTTGGTAAGATAGTTACTGATAATAATTTCTGTTCTTGGTAGGATAGTTACTGATAATACTCTCTGCTCTTGGTAAGATAGTTACTGATAATACTCTCTGCTCTTGGTAAGATAGTTACTGATAATAATTTCTGTTCTTAGTAGGATCGTAACTGATAATACTCTGCTCTTGGTAAGATAGTTACTGATAATACTCTCTGCTCTTGTTAAGATAGTTACTGATAATAATTTCTGTTCTTGGTAAGATAGTTACTGATGATAATATTTACTTTCTGCTCTTGGTAACATATTAACTGATAATTCTTTACTTTCTGCTCTTGGTAAGATTAGTTTCTGATAATACTTTACTTTCTGCTATTGGTAAGATAGTTACTGATAATATTTACTTTTTGCTCTTGGTAAGATAGTTACTAATAATACTCTCTGCTCTTGGTAAGATAGTTACTGATAATACTTTACTTTCTGCTCTTGGTAAGATAGTTACTGATAATATTTACGTTTTGCTCTTGGTAAGATAGTTACTAATAATACTCTCTGCTCTTGGTAAGATAGTTACTAATAATACTTTCTGCTCTTGATAAGAGAGTTACCTATTATAATACTTTCTGTTCTTGGTAAGATATTAACTGATAATATTGCTCTTGTCTAGGTTTTGCTTTTCTTGGTTTTATCCTTTTCCTTTTAATATTTTTCTTGTCTAGGTTTCGTTTTTCTTGGTTTAATCATTTTTCTTCAAATACTGCTCTTGTCTAGGTTTTGTTGTTCTTGGTTTATTTCTCCTTCTTCTAATATTGCTCTTGTTTAGGTTTTGTTGTTCTTGATTTAATTCTTCTTCTTCTAATATTCCTCTTGTCTAGGTTTTGTTGTTCTTGGTTTAACCCTTCGTGTTCTCATATTGCTCTTGTCTAGGTTTTGTTGTTCTTGGTTTAATCCTTTTTCTTCTAATATTGCTCTTGTCTAGGTTATGTTGTTCTTGGTTTAATTCTTCTTCTTCTAATATTGCTCTTGTCTAAGTTTTTTGTTCTTGGTTTAATCCTTCTTCGTCTAACATTGCTCTTGTCTAGGTTTTGTTGTTCATGGTTTAATCCTTTTTCTTCTAATATTGCCCTTGTCTAGGTTTTGTCGTTCTTGGTTCAATTCTTCTTCTTCTAATATTGCTCTTGTCTAGGTTTTGTTGTTCTTGGTTTTATTCTTCATCTAATATTCTTCTTGTCTAGGTTTTGTTGTTCTTGGTTCAATCCTTCTTCTTCTAATATTGCTCTTGTCTAGGTTTTGTTGTTCTTGGTTTAATCCTTCTTCTTCTAATATTGCTCTTGTCTAGGTTTTGTTGTTCTTGGTTTAATTATTCTCCTTCTAACATTCCTCTTGTCTAGGTTATGTTGTCCTTGGTTTAATTCTTCTTCTTCTAATATTCCTCTTGTCTAGGTTTTATTGTTCATGGTTTAATTCTTCTTCTTCTAATATTGCTCTTGTCTAGGTTTTGTTGTTCTTGGTTTTATTCTTCTTCTAATATTGCTCTTGTCTAGGTTTTGTTGTTCTTGGTTTAATTCTTCTTCTTCTAAAATTGCTCTTGTCTAGGTTTTGTTGTTCTTGGTTTAATTCTTCTTCTTCTAATATTGCTCTTGTCTTGGTTTTGTTGTCCTTGGTTCAATCCTTCTTCTTTTAATAATGCTCTTGTCTAGGTTTTGTTGTTCTTGGTTTAATCCTTCTTCTTATAATATTGCTCTTGTCTAGGTTTTGTTGTTCTTGGTTTAATCCTCCTTCTTCTAATATTGCTCTTGTCTAGGTTTAGTTTTTCTTGGTTTAATTTTTCTTCTTCTAATATTCTTTTGTCTAGGTTTTGTTTTTCTTGGTTTAATTCTTCTTCTTCTAATATTGCTCTTGTTTAGGTTTTGTTGTTCTTGGTTTAATCCTTCTTCTTCTAATATTGCTCTTGTCTAGGTTTTGTTGTACTTGGTTTAATCCTTCTTCTTCTAATATTCTTCTTGTGCTTCCTACTGTATAAAAGACAGACTAAAGAGGAGGATCCGACAGAAACAAAGGTGAAATTCTCTCAAAATCTGTAATTATTTTAGCCTTGAAAGTATCATCATAATTGAAATTCCATCAGAGACATATTTAACTTTTCTTTATTGGAGACATAACTAATCTTTTTTATCGGAGACACAGCAAACCTTTTAATCGTAGACACAGCAAACCTTTTAATCGGAGACACAGCAAATCTTTTAATCGGAGACACAGCAAACCTTTTAATCGGTTACACAGCAAACCTTTTAATCGGAGAAACAGTTAACCTTTTAATCGGAGAAACAGCAAACCTTTTAATCGGAGACACAGCTAACCTTTNTTTTAATCGGAGAAAAAGCAAACCTTTTAATCGGAGAAACAGCAAACCTTTTTTATAACAATTTCAATAAACTTTATAAAAGTACAATCAGTCCAAATTTGTAAGGTCTCCAGCCTCCTTTCCACTGCGCGTACGTTTGAGCAGGGGTCTCCGATGAGGTGTTGGTTCTTAAAAATTTGAGATGCTTCCTCGAATTAGGGTTGGTCTCCGATAATGCTGCGGTGATGATGAGTTTCTCAAACTTAGCTCAAACTCTTATTTTCCAATATATTCTTTATCATTGTAACCTAATGGTGCAGACCACTAATATTGTAAAGTTTAACTATTAAAAATGTCATTTTTTCATGGCTTGAAATATGACAGGTCAACAAGGGAAACGGATTGGAAAATTTTACTAAAAGAAAAAAAATCTGCCTGATTATATTTAACTTCCATATTTTATTTTAAGGAGGAGCGAACTCTGTTTAAAGACGAGGGGTCTCAAGCTGCAAATTTAAAGGGGATGTACAGCCAAAAATATGCTCAACAGTACATAGGAAACCAGGATCAAATATTAATTTCCAGGAACATTATATTTACATTGTCGCTTTACATGCACTGTGCACTGTTTATTATACTTTATCTGTACAGTGTGAAATCTGAAGACACTTTACATTGTTTTCTTACATTGTAGGCTGTAGACACTGTACACTGTTCACTGTACAATGTAAAGTGTACATTGTACAGTGTGAAATCTGAAGACACTTTACATTGTTTATCTTATATTGTATAGGCTGTAGACACTGTACACTGTTCACTGTACAATGTAAACTGTAAACTGTACATTGTACAGTGTGAAATATGAAGATGCTTTACATTGTTTATCTTACATTGTAGGCTCTAGTTCACCAGTTCAAATCCTTCCTGAATCTTTAACTTTGAATCGATGCAGCTCAAATTCACATAATTAGGTCTTTAAATATTTAAATAGAAAGTCGATGAAATTGTAAAACCCTGAAAAACCTTATTGATTTTTTAATTATCCAACATTAAATTTAAAAAGCATTAAACATTTATGAATAGCCTTGTACTGGCCTTCACTTTACTGAGAGCAAATAAAATTTTTATATATATTTATATGTTACAGGGTTTCCATTTTTATTAATGAAATTATTATATATTCTTTATATTTTTGCAACCTTATTTTGGACCCTTAATATTTCAATCTTTGAATCCTGTTGAATGAAAAAGGCTAAGTTTGAAATTTCAAATATTTGCAAAGATTTAGGAATTAGAAAATTCAAGTTTGCTGCGAGTGTTCAATTCCTTTGGTTTTAGAAATTTTATTTTAATTCTAGGTCAATGATCATTTTTGTACAAATTACAATTAATCTGCAATTCAGAGTTATTTTTTTGACACCTTTGTTCATCTTTACTATTGTCTGTTAATAAAATTTATGATTTTCGGAAACAAGTAAATCCACAAATTTGAAAACTTAAAATCTACGAAGCGTTCGAAATTTAATTTTTTTCTAAAAACTAAAAAATGATGGCATATGAAGACGACTGCATTACTTTTTTAAATACTCCAATGGACACACCCCTGTATGCCGAGTCCATTAGCGCCTGATCCGATTATGGTTTAGTCTTGTGTTTGTAGCCTATTATTCTGAACCAATGGAAATAGTATGGCGATTGGCGGTAACATCTATCTTTCTACCTATCTCATTATCCAATCAGAGTTATGAATCCTTCAATCGGCGCTATCAGTAAATGGAAATATTTACTTCTACTGAAACTATGGTGGACATATATGAACACAACAACTGTGCAGTGTACACAGACACACCTCATGATATGTTAATTTTTAAATTACTGGTAAAACTATTGGTTTTATAACAACATCAAATAGATTGTTTAAATGTCGTCTTCTTATTCCACAGTATTTTGGGTCCCACTGTACCTTATGCTTTTGGCGCTTTGGCCTCGAATCTTCGTCAGGCCATGCGGCCCAATTGTCGCCATTGATCATAAAAACTATAAGAATATATTGGGAGGGGGGAGGGGCTTTGACAGAGGTGGGCTTTGGGGCCCCCAGCGGATGCCAAGCCACCCACTCATTTGGAAAAAATTTGACTCCTGGCGGTGGTTTTCAGAAATGGATCGTGCCTCCAGTAAAAATAGTTTTGGAGGACAATATCCAGTCAGTTCAGGATCAACTAAGTAATTTTTTTTACAGAATTTATTAATTAATTGATTGTTTGATTGATTGATTGGTTGAGGATGAAATTTGATCGTTCGTTGATAAGATTGAATTATTTTAGATTCGATTATTAGATTTCAGCAATATTGTTTTTTTATTGATCAAAATTGATCAACGATTCAAGAAATTAACTTATTGTAATAAAAAATATTGACTTATAATTAATTCATATAAAACATATAAAACAATATTGGGTCAAACTATATTGGTTCAGTTAACTCATGCAGCCAAACGAGTCAATCGAAAAGCGGCCAGAAACGAATGAAGTGACTGTTTTCTTCGTTATTTCTATTTATATTAATGGAAATATTAGGGTAAAATAAAAGGGGGTATAGGCTAAATCCAAGATATTTTAGGCGTTGATTGCGACCAAAAATAGTTCTGTCCGATGTCCCTGTCTCGCGAAATTGATATAAAACTGTGTCCAAATGGTACAAAATTATAGTCGTAATAAAGTCGACGGAGCCACGTGACCAGATACTGCATGGCCATTGGTGGAAATTCTGGTCACATGATACAGATGTAACAAGACAGAAATCAGTTATATCTATCAAAAGTTAAAAAGTATTATATTCAAATTATAATATTAACGTGCCTTAAACCTTTAGACACCTCTGGGTTATCATAATTTTCATATTCGTTGTGTATTTGCTGAATATGATCTATTTACAATTTGAATTAAAGACACACCTCTAATTTTACCTGAACAGTTCCTTTTAAGTCTTGAGAAGAATTTTAAAGAGTGTTTTCTTACTTGTATATATATATATACCGATTAAAGGGTTTTCTTACTTGTATATGTATCAATTAAAGTATATAGTAAAGTATATAGACTGTGGTAAGATGAGCTTACTCTGTTAATAAAGCTAAATTAGTGAGAATTAGAACGTCAAGTGTTTATTTAAAGTCGAAACTTTTATTTTGTGTGAATCCTGGGATCAAGTATTAATCTCCATCTTATACAGATCTACGAACTAATCCAAGGTTATAATGCAGGGATAGTTAATTGCAGTTGCGTATACTCTGCGTACATATTGAAATGCATCAGTGTTTGTTTAGTATCAGTGGAGAATAAAAGAATTTAATTTTGATAATTTTGATAATTCACATAATAGTTTCCTATGACCAGAATATTTCATTGATTTTTTAAGTGACAGATAGATCCCATGTAGGCTTCGACATCCGTCTTGTGTTTACATTACCGCCCAGAGACAGTGCACCGCAGTACAAAAGATGCGTACAATTCTGAAATAACTTTCCTTGCATTATAACCTTGGATTAATCTTATTACTTTTGGATAGCCAGTGATGGTCATACCTTGCAGAGGGATCAAGCATTAATCCTCAAATATATAGTGCCCAGATTGGATTTATAGATCGCCCGTTCAAAATTAACAAAACTCTACACAATAGCTGATTATGTGGAATGTTGGAATTTTGATTTAATATTCAGGATTTCAGTTCGGCCTGCCACACCCGACACTATGGCTGATGTTTGGAAGAATAAAAGGGAAATAGCAAAAAATAATTGATTTTAAGAGAATAAATATTGTTTTTATATTATTATCTTAAAGAGACAGTTTTCAAGTAGCCCTTCATGTAAGGATTAAAATGCGCGATTCAAAACGACACAATTTAAATTAAACCATTTTCTCGGCAAGCATTATGGAGAGTATCATTGTTTTTTCTTTCTCAAAATTGATAATTATTTTCCGGTCAGCTTTCTTTCTAGAAGTGGGTTACGGATTTATATACAGAGGACAATGAAGGAAATTGACAGAAAATCTTCCTTATTAATGTCACTAATATAAGAGTACCGATGTGAATCGGCCATGCATCTTTCAAATAGAGGGTAATTTTGAATTACGTCGATAGGCCCTTTAAATATATAAAACATTATATTTTGCTTTTTTTAGTAATGAGAAATACAACAAATATGATCTTGCCGGTCACAAGTAAGTAAACAAAAAAAAATAAAAATGTGCAAAAATAATCAATAATTGGAACTTTTGCTTCGCCAAACCAAATCAGAGTTCGGACCTTATTTTGTATTTTAATTCCTTCATAAAGCAATAATCTTCACATTTTGTGTTCCAATTTTTGTGAAATAATTTAAGTAATCGCGAAAATACGCGACAGCTGTTTTTCACGGATTAAGCGAGATATCAAGATCCGACGTTGTGGATTAGAGTTCTTATTTAAAAGTTTCGATCTCTGAATAAATTGTTAATTCTATCAATTTTACTGATTAACGTTTTGTAATTATATTCAATTATTTTTTTTTTCTTTTGTTTGACCAATGATTTCTTTAAATCGATCCTTCGAATGATTTTCATTAAAAATAATTTTACTTGTTTTTTAATTAATTTTCAATTTCAAGGAAATTCTTGTTAGAGCTTTATAAAAAAGAAAATTGAATTAAAATATATTTAACTATCCTTAGATTGGTTCCGTATTTGCTGAATATGATCTGTTTCAACTTTCAATTAAAGCCACCCCTCTAATTTTACCTTAACAGTTCCTTTTAAGTCTTGAGAAGAATTATGAAGAGTGTTTTCTTACTTGTATATATATCAACTAGCCTTTTGGGGCGCTTCGCGCCCATATTCTATTTCAACTTTTAATTGTGACTTTATCTCTGAACATCTTTCTCTTTGTACAGTATAAAACAAAAACAAAAAAAGTTTGCAGGTTTCCTAATATTTTTTTGCGCATTTTCAAAATTTTTCAAAAAACTTTTAAACACAAATTTTTAAAATTTTGATCATTCATAAACCTTACCTAAGGCCACAAGAGGTCCCACAAAAAATTTGGGCCCGATCGGTTCAGCCGTTTTGACGTTTATTGGATACAAACAAACAGACAAACAGACAGACAAGCCAAATTTATATATAGACTAGCATTAGAGGGCGCTTCGCGCCCATCTTATAAATTAATTGTGAACATGTTCTCATTGAGTACATCGTAAAACAAAACAAAAATAATTCGCGGATTTTCACAAAAAATTTCGTGGATTTTCAAAATTTTCAAAAATTTAATGAAGATCGAATTTTGATGGAGACAAATATTTGAAATTTTGATCATTCATAAACCTTCCCTGGGGTCCCTAGATGTCCCACAAAAAATTTGTGCCCGATCGGTTCAGCCATTTTGACGTTTATTGGACACCAACAAACAAACAAACAGACAAACAAACACCCAGACAAGCCAAATTTATATATAGATTAAAAACAGCTTAATTAATGACAAATAACAAAGCAGACGTTATATTATATTATTTGAGAAAGCTTTTCACTTTAAACATCATTGTCTTGAATACAGTATACTGTTTTTTAATGCCGGCATGGCATGGTTTAGTTTAGTTTAAATTAATAATGTATAATTATGCTACCTGGTCAGGCCTCAGGACCTTGGGAAATATTCCATGTATTATTAATTACCTAAAACCTTGGCTTAACCTTCAATATTTGCATTGTAAAGTGTAAAATTTCTAAAAACCTGAGGATTCAAAACCTTCCTTTTGGTCATGTGAGGTCCCACAAAAAAATTTGGACCGGATCGGTTCGGCACTTTTGACGTTTATTGGATACAAACAAACAAACAACCAAAAAGACAGACAAGCAAAGCTTTTGAATACAACTTTTGTATTTCTGAGCATCCACAAACCTTCCCTGGGCCCATGCGTGGTCCCACAAAAAATTCGGACCCGGATCGGTTCAGCCGTTTTAACGTTTTTTTTTTGGATACGAACACCCAACAAGACAGACGAGCAAGGTATATGTTTATATATGTAACAAATCTAGATGCTAATACTCTAACGATTACTTTGCTCAAAGTCTAATGAGATCATATTTAACTAAATCTCTAGCCAAATCTTAAGGCTCTCTATCTCTAGCCAACACTCAAGGCTCTGTATATGTCCGTTCTAATCAACAAATGATATTCAACTAGTTTATTTATAAACAGGTAAAATGAAAACTGACTGGGCTAGCCCGGCTGGGTCAATATACAAATAATTAAGATAGTAATATTATTAGTACAGATATCAAATTAGAATTGCACATCATTGTAGAATACACTTCACATCCCCGGAGGGGGGATTGTCGAAGTTTATCGGTTATCGCAGATCAACGATACTTCGACAAGTACTGGTTCCCGACATTCTCTTTTCATTAAAACTTTGAGATTTCACAGATGAAAGATCTCTCGATCTCTAA